TTTGCCCCACAGATTGACTGGAGCGGGTGAGTGTGACTCTCACCTCTAACAAATCCAACTAAACTTCACTTGAACTCGTGGTCTGAAATAGCAGCACTCAAGAAAATAAGAAAGCAGCAGCAGAATTCTATTCTGTGTTCTTTACAAAATCCCTGGCCAGTGTGGCTCTGTGCCAGTTGCCGAGGAAAGTAAAAATACATGCAAGTAAAAATAAATGAAGAAATAGTGCACTTCAAAGCACTCAAGCAAAGTACAGTATAGCTCACAGGTACTGAAATGAATGCCAAGGTACAGCCCGGGAAGCCAAGAAGCTATGCACTTGAAGGTCTAAATCTTCAGCATGTTTTTGTTATTTAATATGTTAAAGCTTCAGTCTTTCCTGCAGATAGACTGCTGTCAGAAGCAGGATCAAGTTCTGGCCACTGCAAAACATAAAGGTCTTAAATATCAAGTCCTTAGTAATGTAAGAGTGTAGCAGCGCTTATACCAGGATATTTGTCTCTCTTTTTTTAAAGCTTTTTAATTTATTTGTGTGTGTGTGTGTGTGTCTTGAACTCAGGGTGTAGGCACTACCCCCCTAGAACTAGTGCTCTACCACTGGAGCCACAGCTCCTCTTCCAGTTTTTTTGGTGGTTAATTGGAGATGAGTATCTTGGTTCTGTCTACTCCAATAGATTTCAAACATGGATTGTCCCATCTCAGCCTCTTGAGTGGCTAGGATTACAGGTGTGAGCTACAGTTGCCAGGCTCAGTTCTTTTTAAAATTTAACATTAGTTGTAAAAGGAGAGTTTCACTGTAACATTTTCATATATACAATGTATCCACTGGGCTCAGATTTTTATATTAGTTGAAAAAGGAAGTTTCATTGTAATATTTTTATACATACAATGTATCCCATCAATCCCATTCCTTCTATTATTATCCCTTATCCTCCATCCCTCCTTAAAATATTTAGAAAAGTTTCATTGTTATAAATAGACTATTTTGACTCCATCCCTTCTCATTTCTCTCTCTATTGGTCCTTACCCCCTCCCACTGGTACCCATTTCCCCAACCGAACCTGTTTTATTACTTTACTGTCATTCATTCTTTTAGTCTATATTTATTGTACCAATGGGTTTCACCATGGTATTTCACATGTTTGGTGATGCTACAGATTAAACCCAGGGGCTCAGTGGGCTAGCTTCAGACTTTTTCTTTTTCTTTGAACTCATGACCTTTTACTGTCCCTTAGAATTCTCACTCAAAGTTGGAACTTGACCACTTGAGCTACTTCTGACTTTTTGGTGGTTAGTTGGAGATAACAGTATACCTTGGATTTATATGCCCAGGGTGGCTTCAAACTTTGATCCTCAGATCTCAGCCTCGAGCAGCTAACATAAGCCATGGGCTTAATATTTTGTTTTTGAGGTAGAGTCGGCTCACTTTGCTCAGACTGAACAACTAATTTACAGTTTGACAAAATGAATGCCAGGAAGCTGGAACATGTATTGGGGTTGGGTGGGGGAAATGCAAGGAGAAGGAAGGCAGATGAACGGAGAGGGTAATGGTGGATGAAAACAGTCATAATATTGTGTGTGTGTGTGTGTGTGTGTGTGTGTGAGACAATGGAACTGGGTAACTTGAAGGGATTGGGGAGGGGTGCTGGGAGAACAATGGAAGAGGTGACATGGATCAAAATGCATTGTACTCATAAACTGATGAATTGAACCTCCTTTGTACCACTCAAGATATTTTTTTAAAAAAACTGAGTATAACAAAGTTAAAAAGCTTTGCCTTTTTTCTCTCAACACTTCTCAGAGTTTCAACTAATGCAAAACCATGATGAACTTGCAAGAAAGAGATATGTAGCTCCACCCCATTTTCCAATCTCCACCCCTCACACACCAAGAAAATTCAGAGAAAGACTGATTGAGGATACATCTTTACGAGGCATTTCCTGATACTCCCAGTGAGAAGTTATCTGACAGGCCACTCGTGTCTCTTTCTATTTGTTGTTGTTGTTGTTCTTCAAATAGCTGTTGTAAGACTGGCTTCCCTTTGGGGAGTGAAGGTAAAGACAAGCCCACCCTCCTCACAGAGCCCCCCAGATGGATGGATGGCCTGTTAGGCTTTTGTATCCTTGGAGCCCCTAATGGTTTTGAATATATAGATTTGGAAGGAGAAACAAGGGCCAAAATGAACTGCTTTAACAACAAAAATACAAGAGCGTTCCCAGGAAAACTGTGGGAAGAAGAGTGCAGTAGATCAGGCAAAAGATGACAGAGAGAAAAGACACCAAAAACAAACAAACAAACTAATGGTAGCCTTCACTGAAAGGACTTTGGAAGCAGAATTGTCTGTTGGGAGATTTTAAGCTGTTCCCTGTTGGGAGTACAACCCAAATCCGTTCTTTTGGCTTCATTGTGAACTCTTCAGTGATGTTTCCCTGGTCTGCAGTGTCCTGGCTTTGCTACAGAGGCGATGTGGTGGGGGAGGGGCTCTCCTTGGCAGGGAGAGCTGACCTCTCCTGGCATTGTCCAGGTGGCTGGGCTGGAAGCCTTCTCATCCTTGGAGATCATATCTGTAGATTCAACTGACTGTGGGCTGAAATATTTGAAAACCAAAGTCTTACCTGTACTGAGTATATATGTGGGTATTTTCCTTGTCCTTATTCCCTAAACAATAAGGTACAACTATAGTCCTATAGTGCTGGCAAAATGTCAGGTGCTATAAGCAATCTAGAGATAATTTAAGCTATATAAGGGTGTGAGCAGGTTCCCCATGTAAGTACGGTAGCTGTTATGTAGAAGGGACTTGGAGAAGCATCTTGGAGGATTTGTTGAGTGAATGAATAAATGAATAAAGTTCCAAAGAGAAGCCATGGATGAGTGTGTCTCTTTGCGAATAGTCTAGCCTGATAGATATGGCTCCCTGGGAGAGATAAGGGATGACATGTAACAGATGACTCGTGAAGGCAGACACAGAAAGGGCTTGATTGGGTGCTCTAATCTCTGACCTTGTTGTATGGAGAAAAAAATGGAGAAATCCCATTTGGGGAGGTCAAATTGGGAGTCTTTATTAATAAAGGCCAGTGATGACTGCATGGTGGACTCCTCTCGCAAAGACCAGTAGCCAGCAAATACACTTAACACTGTTAATAAACTGAGCCATGAAGGCCAGAGAGGAGAGAAAGAACAAAAACATATCAACAAACCAATTAGTTCCAATGGAGAGCTGGAGTGGGAAGCCATGGTGACTGGAGAAGAGCCAGGAGCCAGGACAGGAACGCAGGGACACATGGCATGGCTTAATGGCATCTGAGCTGGTCCAAATAGTGTGAGGGGCAGGGGGCAGGGTCACAGGAAACTCGGGTCCCTTGCACAGGACTGACAGGTTGAGTAACCTATTATCCAAGTCCCCACCCCTGCCTCCAGGGATTTTGGCATGCCCACCACCTGAAGACAAGATGCCAGACCCTACCATCCACCATGTGGCCAAGATGGTGCCGGTCAGACCCGGTCTCCTCACTTCAACCTAAGAAACCTACTTGGAGTATAAAAATCTGACTGCCAGATAAACAACAAAGATCTCCCACCTGTCCTTTGAATAAGGAAGCACTAGCAAAAGGCAAAGATGTCACAGCCCTCCATTCGCTGCTACAAAGAGTTGTTCCTTTTCATGAGATCATTCCCATGCACCTTGGGTTTTCCTTCATGATACAAGATTCAGCCAGGTCATGTCCCCTTTGGGGGTTAAAAAAGACCATCACAGAGGCTTGTTTCCCCCTTCGTGACCTCTTTTGGTTAGAGTCTTCTAGACAGACCTGGTTTTGACACCTCTTATTTGTCCCCAAAACTTATCCTTTATGTGCATGGTTAACAGAAAGTTGTGTGTGCACAGTGCTATCACTTCCAGACCCAGACCTGGTGAACTGTAAACAGGAAGCTCTGTATCGATGTAAGGAATTTTGCCATGGCCTCGCTAGGAGGGAGAGTTTGGGTCTTTGGGTAGCATAGTTGGCTCCAATATAGTATCTCTCTTGTGTCCACAAGACAATCATTAGGTATGAATTCCCATAGCAAGACTGCCTGTTGAGATACATTGACTGGAAACCATCTTTCTGGGAAGGGTTTGGGTATCATGGAAGGGGTTATACTGGGTTCTGAGATTGCTGCCCTAGTTGGTGGGAGCTATGACATCTGAAAGGGCCAGCTGGTTATTTATTCTGTGATTCATTCAACAACATTTATTCATTCATTCATTTTGCTCCTTCATTTTTAGACACAACAAAGCAAGATTGTCTTTATTCATGTATGACATGATTATTTCCATAGAAGTTCCCAAGTAGATTAAAACAAAACAAAGAGCCTCAAAATAACAACTGAAAAAATGAGATTAGAGCTCTCAAAATAAAGGCCAATATTCAACATTTCAGTTCACTTCTATACTGTGCAACAAGCAACTGAACATGATCCAAAACATTAAATATGCATGTGCCAAATTGAACAACATTTTCTAAGACCCTGGCAGAGGAAAAAATAAAAAACCTCAAAATGTTCCTAAGAGAAATTAAAGTAGACCTAAACAAACAGAAGCAAATGTGATTTTCATGGATTGGAAGACTCGAGTTTGTGAAAATGTCGATTGCCTTGAATCAATTAGCATCAATTAGCTATATAAGAGGTTGCATTTATTGAGCCTTTGCACTAGGCACCATTCTAAGCAAGAGGTGGGGGAGGTTAATTGTGTCTAGGAGAGGGTGTTCCTGAGGTTGAGCCATGTGACATGGAGAGGCAGGGTGGTCTGGAAAAGTATCTTGGAGTCACATGTTAGCAAAGAGTGGAATCAGAAGTCAGATTAAGAACAGGGAGAGCAACATTTCTGCCTCAGGACGGCTAGTGTGGAGACTGTACAATCTTTCTCAAAAGGGGAGAGTGTTGGTTGGGATCCATTCCATTGCTCCCCATACCAAGCCTGTGCTGAACACCCATATTGTGTTGTGTTTTCTCTTCTACAGACGACTTTGCAGAGGAGGAGGAGGTGCAGTCCTTCGGTTACAAGAGGTTCGGTGAGTTCTAGCAAAGTTCCGTTCCTTCTCTTTGCTCAGTCAATGCAGTAATGTCCCTCAGAGATGATCAGAAGCGAGACTGCTGGCGCGTCAATGTACACACTTACACATGAGCGTTTGTGGCCTCGAGATCCAGCTTTGGTTGGAGGTTGAGCTTCCATATAAGTGGCGGGCCATTGATTACAACCCAGCGACAGTGGGGTGAGCTGGGGAAGAGGTGCAGTGTTAACAGGTCTGCTGAAGACAGCTCGTGAACCTACATAGCAGAAAAAGGGAAATTGATGGTGAGACAGAAGGATTTCTCTGTTGGGTATTGAGAAACCATTTTTCCCTCTGTGGCTCAGGCTTGTGTTTATAGCTTAGTAGTCGTGGATGGGTGGGAGGAAGACTTCTTCCAGGAACCCAGTTTCACAAGTGCCTTGTGATAGGTTGAATGACGATCCCCAGAGACCCTTATCCTGATCCCTAGAACCTGCATGCTACCTTACATGGTAAAAAGTGTCTGTGGTTTCATTTTTTAAATGTGATATGTTCAATATATATTGCCACCAGAACAATTTACCCACAAATACTGTAACTTAAACAATATTTTTTTGTTTTTATAATCCCATAGTTGTGTAGGTCAGAAGTCCCAGTATGGCATCAATCCAAGTAGTCTGGCTAAACTCTTCAGTGCCCAATAGCAAGGAATTGGCAGTGTTGTGTTCTTCTGGAGGTACTGGGTATATATGCAGTTGTCTATACTTTCAGGCTCACCCAGATTGCTGGTCAGATTTAGTTCCTTAAGTTGTAGGATGGAAAGATCTTGCTGGTTCTAAAGGACTTTTTTTTGCAGAGGTGATGAAGTTGAAGAGCTTAAGATGGAGAAATTATGAAATTAAAAAAAATTAAAAAATAAGAAAAGGGAGGGATAGGAGATCTGGTTGCAGAGAGAAGGTGACAAGATGGTAGAATGGGGCTCACAGTAATATCTTGTGCAGGTGGAGGAGAGACCCTTCAGTCAGGAATGCTGATGGCTCCTGAAAGCTGTAAGAGACATCAAACAGGGATTATTCCTACAATAGCACACACAACACTTTTATTTCCACTAAGTGAGGTTAATTTCAGTCTTCTGCCTTCCAGAACTATAAGAAAAACTATCTTCTTAGTTACAGCAGCCACCAGGAACTATACCTACTGCTTCACCTCCAGGGTGGCTCCACATAGTAGTCTTCTCTGCTTTGACCTGCTTTGCAGGCTCTTCAATTTAGCTGTAAAATGCTAGTAAATGCTGCAGTTTCAAAGAAAATTCAAGAGAATGGAGGTTGAGTCTTGGTGAGAAAAAATGGGGAAGAAAAGAAGAGAAAAGTTTGTGTGTGCTGTCTGTCTGTCTGTCTGTCTGTCTGTCTGTGTGTCTGTGTGAGAGATAGATGGAGAAAGAATATGAATGAGAGTAAATCTATTTTTTTTGTTGCTTAAAAAATAATCCTGGCTGGACTTTGATTAAAGTTAACAACCCCCAGCTGCTCTGGCTCCCTTGTTGTTTTAGTATTTTTCCTTCTGGAAACACACGTCTACATTTCTTTCTGGGAAAAGAAATAGGGCTTTAATATGGGAATGCGGTGGCACCAGGCCCATAGCTTTTCCATTCATGCCCCGACAGAGCAGTCGGCCCATCCTTTCTCCCACTGCCCTACGTATTCTTGTTCTTTACATTATCAAGCATTTCTGGATTGGTACCCTGTGCTGTTCTAATTTCCTCTGGAGGATTCACTGAAGGGTAGCAGGAGTGTACATGAAACCAGGAATTACAAAGGAAAACAAACCAGAAAGTATTAAAAGGCAGAAACTGTGAGGAAATTTGAACCTTGCAAAATAAATGTTGAAAGGTCTCTCTATATATTTTGGAAATCAGTAGAAAGACAGAGAATGAACAGAAAACATTTCTTTAAAAAGGGTGAGTTTAAGAATATTTTTAATATAGAACATTATACTAGCTATACGAGTGGGGATTTGGTAAAAAAAAATCTAGTATATTAAACAAGGGTTATTAATTTAAGGGATGAAATTATACATGGGAATTGCCAACAAATGACTCAGAGGAGACATAATAGCTTACAAATATCATAAGAGCATAAGCGGGCAGGAAGAGAGTGATACCATGCACTACAAATACAGAGCTAGAGGTATGGTTCAACGGTAGAGCACCAGCTGACCGGTCAAGCCAAGTGAATGCAAAGCCCTGTGTCCCAACCCTAATTTCAAATAAAAAAGTTAAACACAACAATGAAAAAGCAACCCAAGGCAGTACAAATAAACAAGAGGGCTGAAATTCAAATGGGAAGCCTTGAAGAAGGCTATGAAGATGTTGGGAATTCTTGGGTTCCCCATAAAGTGGTGAATATTCTGCACTGGGTAATAGAGTTTCTTGGAAGAAACAGATATGAGTTAAGTTAGCCATTCTAGATACAGGAAGTAAGGTCTAGAGAGATTAAATTCTTGCTTAAGTGAGGTAGCTGAGCATGGGTTCAAAGATCCTGGGTCTTCTAACTCTCAGATTAGTGTCATTTGGGGGAAAGGGCCTCACAGTGGGTTGAAGTGACTTCTTCTGTGTCAGGGAGGGGTACCCTAAAGTGAGCAGGGCACCCGTCTGGCCCCACTAGATGGATCTTGCACTTCTTTATAGTATCTAGGACAGGCTTTTGAGAAGAGAAATCGGTTTTAAGCCCATTGTCTCATGTATGGCTGAATATTAGCCATTAAAGAAAGACTCAATCCCTTGCACACAGCAAGTCAGTAGGTGTCTGCAGATAGCGTGGTCCACTGAGCCCGGTCCCTAATTACTCTTGTGATGCAAACCCAGTTACTTAATCTGTACCTCAGATGCTGTATTTGCCTGATGAGCAAAGTGACACCTACTAAGCTAGATAAGTCTACCTCCCAGGGCTGTGCCGTGTGCACAAGTGCTTCAAAGGTACTGCATGTGAAAAGAGAAGGCTGAGCCAAGGCACCAGTTGCTCATGCTTGTAATCCTAGCTCTTGGGAAGCTGAGATCTGGGGAGTTTGGTTCAAACCCAGTCCAGGCAGGAAAGTTCATGAGGCTCTTACCTCCAATTAACCACCAAAAGCCAGAAGTGGAGCTGTGACTAGTGGTAGAGCATGAGCATTGTGTGAAAAAGTTAAGGTAGAATGCCCAGTCCTAGAGTTCAAGACTCAGTACCAGCATCAATCAATCAGACAAGCTGAATTATCCTTCCCCTCTCCTGAAATTAGTGTGGTTAGCACTGTAAGCATTTTGGTGTACCTATAGAAGAATATCAAAGTATGAATAAAGACTTGAAACTTCATTCCTAAAATGAGGGAAAGGTGTGATTTACCTCTGAACCTGGCCCAGAGTGGTGGCTTTTATTTTTGCCAAAGTAAACTGGGTAGCAAAGGTTTATTGTCTGATTTTAGGTATGTTTTATAAATAAGCACAACTTGAATTTAGCCTACAGATGAGCCAGGGGTTAATTATTCTCAGGACAAACGGGCATTGTTTTAGCAAATCATTACTGGGTGGGCTTGTTTCATATATAGTTGATCAGAAGTATTTGCTATATAAAGTCAAGATTGTTTACATCAAACCACTGTGCTTTTTCAAATTCTGTGCAGTGTTAGAATAAAGAGTCAACATTTTTCTCTTCTCCACTGATCAAGCCCAGTAGGACATTAATTTAGTACAATCATCCCTTGTTTGTTCAGAGACTCATTATTGCATTTTTGTTCTTAACCAGCTTTGTTATTTTTCTTTTAGTTTTTCCATATGTCAGAGTTGCCATCCCCATCCCCAAAGTTCTGGGTAGGCTTCTGGAAATGAGCCACCCTCTGACAGTTTTGCCACTCATTTGTTTCTGTAATAAAAGCTTCCATGAAGAGGACCTTGAAGGGTTAATTAAGTGAGCATTTTTAAGCTTCAATCAGACTTTTTGGGTCAGGATTTCTTGGCCTCAATCTGCTGAGTTAATTGAGGTGTAACTATGGTTACAATTTGGCAGAATTTCCTTCCTGGGACATGAAGCACACAGTCTACATATATGTAGCCCAGGCTGGACTTGAATTCAAGAGCCTCCTGAGACTGCCTATAGAGTATTGGAGATCAGAGATATGCACTACTCTTCCTTCCTTCCTAGAATAATGATATATACTACAATACCATTTTTTTCCTTTTTTGGTAGTACTGGGGTTTGAATTTGGGCCATTATGCTTGCTAGGCAAGTACTCTACCACTTGAGACACACCCCAGGCCTTTTTTCTTTAGTTATTTTTCAGACAGGATCTCATGTTGACAGCCAGGCAGGCCTTGACTGACACACTCCTATGTACACCTTCCTCATAGCTTGGATGAGAAGCATATACCATCATACCCACCTATTAGTTAAGATGAGAGAGGGATAATCTTTGCTCCAAGGTTGGCCTTGAGTCATGATCTTTCCAGTCTCTGCCTTCCAAAGTAGCTGGGAAACAGGCATGAGCCACTAAAACCTGTCTTACAATGATGCCTTTCTACTTTTCTCCAGCTTACTACTTTCTATGATGATGGTGATGATGATCATGAGGATCATGAGGATCATGATGAGGAGGAGGAGGAGGTTAGGTATTGGTGTCTCACACCTGTAATTCTACCTCTTGCAAAAGCTGAGACCTAGGAGATGGAGATTTGAAGCCAACTTGGGCAGGAAAGTCCTTGAGACTCTTATCTTCAATTAACCAATAAAAACAGCTGGGCTGCAGGGTTAACTAAAGTGATAGAATGCTAACTGTGAACAAGTAAGCCACATAAGAGTTGGAGGCCCTGAGTTCAAACCCTGGAACCACCCACACCCTGTCCCTTCCCCTTTTCCCCTCTCCCCACCCTAAATCATATAGGCTCTGGGATCCCTCCATCATGCTTAACAGCAAGGCCGACTTCTCAGCACCCCAGATGTCCCAGGTGCACTCTTCTGGAGTCCACATGGCTTCTGTTGGCGTTGGGGGTCTCT